CCCCAAAAAAAATTTAAGTTTGTTTTTAAAAAATATTTTCAACTTCAAAATTTCAATTTTTCGCCCCTACCCTCACCCACCCCTACCACCCCCACCCCAAAAAAAAATTTAAGTTTGTTTTTAAAAAATATATGCAATTTCAAAAATTATTTTCTACTCTAGTAAAAATAAAAGATATTTCTCAAAAAAAAAATTCATTCATAAATTAAAAATATTTCCGGAAAATATTTTCTACTCACCAACCAAATATGAGAAAATAAGTCAAAAATCAACTTGTTTTCTAGGAAAACATTTTCCATTCATACCAAACACACCCTTAGAAAGGAGTGACCGAGCAAGAAAAAGTGAGTTTTAGAGGGTAAAAAAGATAAATGCGACGAGAAACTCATTCCTCTCCCTCTTATTCTGTTTTGAATTGTGTCAAGCCGCTAAAGCGATGTCGCTAAGGCGTGAAAATTTATGTGGCTTCGTTCATTTAAATTTTCTAATCCGGTATATTTGGGTATATGGGACGTTGTAGTTTTGTGTGGTTCCCTAGGGTTTAAATTCTTTTTTGATGTTATCGAATCAAACAATGATCTTTTGTGACTGGACTGTCTTTCCTTTCGTCCTAATAATCGTTCGGGGATGAACAATGGGTAAATTGGTATCTATTGTAATGACATGACTTATCATTATTCAAAAGGCACCTTGTGCGGAGTCTCGATTTTTTTTGAAATACATTGTCAATTTAAAATTGGGGTGACACGACAAAAATTTTGAAATTTGAAATTGACCCCGACTAACTTCATCCTATCATAGTGGGAATATTCCCGTTATCGTGCATTGTAGTGGCCCGTCCGACGCTATAGCAGGGTTAGCGTGGTAGAAACTCAAAAACGTAAATTCTTTTAAGTTTTCTCCTCCCCCAAAGGTAAAATAGACGAAGGTTATACACCAAAAACTGCTTCAAGCTTAGGGACAAGGGAGGGGAGATATTCTAGCACAAGGAGGTCAAACCCATGGACTTCTGATTTACGTCTGTCAAGATTCGCCCCCACGGAGCTAGAAGCTCGTGTTTAGAGTTATTCGACAGTTTCTTGACGTCCTGATATGCTAGGATTAATTGAGTAGTTAGGCTTGTCTTTACTTGCATAATACCTTGAGAATTGTCGGGAGTTAGCATGTATGAGCCTTCGGGCGCAGAGTTTGGGCGGACGAATGTGTGGATCACAGTTGTTTAGGGTGGTATGGTACTTAACTTTATCATCTAACGAAAGTGAAATGTTCATTTAAAAAAAAAATTCTATGTAAAGGTATATTTGATCTTTTCCATAGATGAATTATTTTTTGACTTCTTTGATTATTATTATTTGAGTTTCTTATTCTTATTTTATTTTATTTCTTTTCATTCTTAGTGTAAACATAAGAGAAATAAAAAGAAAGAAGTGTGAATGAAAAAAGATTGAAAAAAAATTAAAACTAAGTTTTTGCGGCTAGTTGTAATTTAAAACTATTTTTTATGACTATATGGTAATTTAGTTTGTATATGTAATTTTTTTTGGGCATCTATGATAAATTTATAAAAAAATTGTGAAAAATATAAATTTAACCATCAAAATAATAAATTCAAATTAGTCGTTGAATAAAAAAAAGTAAAAGAAATATGTGTTAGAACTTAGGAGTAAATATACCCTATAAAAATAAATATGGAAAAATTGTATATAATAGTAAACTATAATTCAAATTAAATGTTATAAACATAGTTTGATTTAATAGTACCCCATAATAAATTGTTGCTATTTCGCCTCTCTCCCTGGTGGAATCTCGCTCGCCACTCTCGTTCTTGCTGGGCTGTCTCGCTCGCCTCTCTCGCTTTTATACAAACACAAAATGTATAAAATGCGTTTTATGTTTGTATAAAGCGAGAGAAAATTGTATATATGCATATATTTTCGTTCCCCTCTCTCAGATCTCGCTCGCCACTCTCCCAGATCTCGCTAGCCTCTCTCACTTTATACAAACACAAATGTATACATTGCGTTTGTGTTTGTATAAAGCGAGAGAAAATTGTGTATATAAATACAAATGCATATATTTTCGTCCTATACACTTATGATTATACAAATACGATCTCCCCCTGCCCAGTTTTCTTTTGTCTTTCTCTCTTTCTCGCTTTATACAAACACATATTATACAATTGATTCTTTATATATGTATACCGAAATAGATTATACAATTGCTTCTTTTGTATATATGTATAGCGAAATAGCCAAAACAAATATAAAGTTTGCTATGGAGCGCAATTATGCAAACTATAGCTATAACATACAAGTATGATTTTTGTATTTGCTATATGTGAAAGTTGCTCAATAAATATAGCCATAAAAATATGTGTTAGAAATTAGGAGGAGGAAAAATGGTATATATTAGCCATTTGTGTAACATTAGAGGTAGGAGTGTACATGACCGGGTTGGTTTGAGTTTTTCAAATATCAAACCAAATAATTTGTGTCGGATTTTTAAATTTATAAATCAAATCAAACCAAAAAAAACTCAGATTTTTCAACCTCGGGATTTTTTAGATTTTTTCGGATTTTTTTATTTTTTTCGGGTTTTTCCGTTAAAGTATTCATAGAAACATACGATATGATTAATGACACTAAAATATTTCTTTAGTCCTACCAAAATAGAACTATCTAAGGTAGTTTCTTAAGAAAATAACACAAACTATGATATGATTAATGACACTAAAATATCCAACAAAAAAATAATAATGAAATCGCGTAAAACAAATATTGTAAATTAATAAGTCATAATGAAAATGATCATAATTTAAAAGTACTAAATTGTGCTAAAATAAGTTTGATAAGTATTAGTTACATGACCAAATATTAAAGGAAATTAAAATTAGATTATGTATTTTAATTGTCACTAATGTAAAATTAAAGAACAAATATTCAATATTATTGTCATTCTTAGTGTTGATTGATTTTTTTTTTTTTGCATTAGTATTAATTTGATTTTGATTTAAGCTTTATTATAATTATCAACATCTATGGACTATAATCTTTATTGGACTAATCAGAATTCTAAGTTTCAAACTTGAAATAATATATTAAAAGATAAAAACTATGAAAAAGTATAAGAAATATTTAAAAATTATATCAAAGTAAATATTTTTATGTATAAAATAAAAATTTAAAATTATCAATATAATGTCGGATTGGTTTGGTCTTGGGTTGATTTTTTTTTAGTTAAAATCAAACCAACCCAAATATAGTCGGATTTTTTTTTCCAATACCAAACCAAGTCAAAACAAACTACTAGTAGGGTTTTTTTCCGATTTGACTCAAATTGTGATTTAATTCGATTTTGTACACCCCTAATTCAAGGAATATATGACTCACTTTCGTAACATGTTCGCTTTTTTCTTTTTCCAAATTTTATAAATTAATGGCCAAACAGCCCTTTAACAAAGCACAATTCCGGCGAAAACAATATCTGAAATGCTCCACTTTTCACAGACATTATTTGGCGAAAACAATTTTTTTTTTCCAAGTGGGATGACTGACTGATTCATCAATCATCATATCCATAGAGTAAATTAATGCACAAATAATTGCACAGTAGCAAATTTCTAGTTGTGGTGTTAAAAAAATGAAAAATATTGTTTTTTTTTTTTTTTTTTCAGAATCTTGAATAGTGATGAGTGATGAGTGATGAGCTAGACAGATTCTTGGATTGACTACCCTTTTTCCCCATTTCAATTTCAGGTAAGTCTTTTGATTTCTTTGTGGGTCTGTGATTTAAGATTTGGTAAAAAAAATTGAACTTTTTCAGTTTGTTTAAATCTTGGATTTCTCTGTTTGGTTATAGTGTTTCACCTTATTGTGTTTGTTTTCCCCAAATGTGATAATATCATAAATTGTATAATTGGGTATTGCCTTATTCTTGATTTTCGTTTCATGCTTAAATGAAAATTTATGATTCCTTTTTACCCCTTTATCAATTATGTTTGTTAGGTTGTGGTTCTGAAATAGCCTCCTAGGTAAGGGTAGGTAAGGGTAACTTGCCTACATCCTATGCGATCTCCAGACCCCACAAACTGTCACGACTCAATTTCTCAGGTCATGATGACACCTACTACACTCCACCAGTAGCTAAGCCTAACCCTTAGCCTGGAGCCTTAAGCAACGGACTACCAAGTGGAAGCCAACAACACGAAGTAAGAGCTTAGAACAAAGTAGAAAAATGATAATCAACAAAAACAATACAGGAACCATCCCAAGACCTGACATCAGTTAGTAGTTGAGCATCTAATCCAAAATAGGAGTACAAGGCTTTCACAAATACAAGACAAGTACATGTTGTCTCTGAATACAATATAAAGACTAAGCTTAGCAAAGCAGCCGGAAACTGGTAGCTCTAGACAGCAGGAGCTCACCCTAATCTCCGAAACCCCAAGCTGCTCCGCACGACTCTAAATCAACGGTGATAACTCAACTGCAATCTATAGGGGGCATAAGTGTAGTATGAGTACCTTGAGTATGTTGTGGATTTACTTTTAATACATGAGCATTCATAGAAAGTCAAAGTAATCAAAGCTAGTATAGTTCTTTATTATGATCATATGATATTCTTCTCTCTCTTCTTTGGTGGTGCTAGTATTGATATGTTCAATATTGTATTTGCTTTGCATATTTGTTTTTTATATGCTTTACTTGAGCCGAGGGTCTATCGGAAACAATCTCTCTATCTTCACAATGTAGGGGTAAGGTTGTGTACACCCCACCCTCCCCTAGACACCACTTGTGGGATCACATTGAGTATTTTGTTGTAAATCTTAGTTCTGGCAGACGTGCTTCGACCAACTTGACTAGGTGAAGGAGGAAATATATTGAGAGATATTTTACTCCATTTTCCCTTAGTGCCTCGAAATTCCATGTGTCTTAATAAAAGAACGAAGTTAAAGAATAAGAAATTTGTGCTAACTACAAAGTACTTTGTTTTATTTCAGCCTGTCCCTCAAACATTGCTGAATGCAGCTGGTATTTAATTGAAAGAGTCCATTTGGAATAATATGGACAAGTCAAAGGAGGAAGCAGAGGCAAATGATGTAGGTGCGAATGTGCTATCTAGAACGAGGGAGTGTGATTCTGGTGAACCATCAATGAGAAAGTGTACATCTACCAGTCATGAGTTGCCGGAGGGATCAACTTCTGCCAGTTCAGGGATGCTGGAAACTGATGGTATGAACAGAAATGTAACGTCCATGAAGGGGCCTCAGCTCCACGGTACAAGCTCTTACTCAAGGCTCACAGTTGAAAAGTTGTGTAATTACAAAATTTCTGAGCCAGCTTCTCTTAGATGCTCCAATAATCAAGAAACCAATCAGAAACCACAAATTCAGTGGCAACGTTTCTATCAATTGGGGTCTGGCTCTAGAAGTGTGAAGGGGGATGGAGATCCTTCATCCACGGACAAGGCTGTTCAGCAATTAAGTTCCAAAGAGTTGCCAGGAATAAATTTACTAGCGCTGAAAATGCTGAAACAAGCATCCGACAAAGATATCAAAGAAGGCTCTAATGCAGTGTCTTCCCAATCAACAGAAGACCATAACCTAATTATTCCAAGCAATAGATTCCTTCCGGGAAGTAGTCAATCAAAACTTTTATCCACTTCTAGCTTTTCTCATTTTTTTGCTAACCGATCTCTTAAAGGCAAAGATGTTTTACCAAAAGGACCTGCACTTCATAAAGAAGTTCATACTGCCTCTACTCTGCAGAATAAGAATGAGTTCGAGCAAGCTTTCACAGGAATGGTATCATCTGATGCATTGTTTAAGCAAGGTGCTAATTCTAATCAAGCATCTTTTAGTCGTAGCGATCACCAAAGACCCACTTCAACTTACAATGGAGTTACCTTAAGAGAGTGGTTAAACTCGACAGGATCACAGATAAACAAAGCTGAGAGGATTCACATATTCCGGCAGATAGTGAAGTTAATTGATATTGCCCACTCTGAAGGAAATGCATTCCAGGATATACGGCCTTCCTGTTTTATTTTACTGTCACCTAATGGTGTTAAATATATTGGTCCATCTGTCCAGATAGACTCCATGTATGCCGTGAGCCGGAATACTAATGGGAAAAGGCCATCCCACATGGAAATGCATGCTAATAGTAACTTGGGTTCAAAGCTGCAGAAGGTCAATGTGGACGTGGACTTTATGAGACAGCAGCCTGAAACCAATGCTCGTTCTTCTCGTGATGAAGGCACATCATTTCAGGCTGGGTGTCTACTGGAGTCTGACATTAATCAATTAGAGAAGAAGTGGTACACTTGTCCTGAAGAACTCAATCACGAAAGCCTAGCATCATCTAATATCTACAGTCTCGGGGTTCTTTTCTTTGAGGTGGGTAATCAATTGCTGGGTTCATAATCATTTTACTTCAAACCACTAACAAATTCTCTTTCTTTTTCCTTCTGCTCATTTGTCTCTCCTCTTAGACACAAACTTAGGTTCAGTTTGCACAAATCCAATCCATATTAAGCAAGAGTTCACAATATAATATTAATGTCACATTTAAATAAATGGTGGACAGTGAGGAGGGAATGTAACACTAGATATTTTGAAGATATGGAAAACACAATCCAACAGATCAAGTTTTATTGTATACTTTTGTTCTGTTTTTGGTGTTGGGAGGAGTTTTAAATTATGCAGAATCAGTTCTTAGATGTTGAATTTATGTTGAAGCAGATTTTAAGATGATCTCAAATGTTGGTGTAACTACAATACACACATTCACTGTTGTTTGAAAGAAAGGAACTGATGTTTTGAAAGATAAAAGCCAACTCATTCCAACAGATCAAGTTTAACTTTGAACTTTTATTTTCTTTTTAGTCTAAGAAGAATTTTTGAATGAAGCAGAATCCATACCTAGCCTATTAAAATTTCTATAAGATTGGTAAGTGATTTTTCTTTTGCTTTGTGCTCACCTATATACACTTCGGTACCTACTAAGTGCTGCTTGTGTAATACAATTACCTTCCTCACCAAAAAGAAGAAGATACATACATCCCAAACAAACAAGAAAGAAAACACCAAAAAAAGAAGGGAAGTTTTTTCTGATGAAAACATACTCTGTCTCCCTGTAGCACTTCCCTGATTTTGCTTCTTGAGCTTTAAGAAACTGAATTAAAATCAATATAATTAAGATTTATTGAATCATCTGCTTTTGTGAAACTTTTACTGACCCACTCTACTGGATCTTTGTACTAGAATATTCCAGTCTGGATATGCTTGTCTTTTCTAAGTAGACTTTTGAGATTTAGCCATCAGATGGTCCATTGCTCTCTCAGATTGTTGAATATGGAGAAGGCAGGCGAGAGTACCTCCCAAATCTTTTCCAAGGAGCCTGTTGTTCTTCTCTAGAATTTGATGCACAGTCATTAATGCAATGAATCAGTGGTGCATATGCTCAATTCTTTTTAGCATTGAGTATATATCTTGATTCAGCTGCACCCCTTATCTGTTCTCCTTTGTGGCTTCTTTTGTTAATTTTCAACTTATTTTTCCTCTGGGGAAATATATGTAGCTGTACACAATCTGGCTAAGTTAATGATTTTTTCGTGGGGTGTGGGAACTGACGTTTTGTTTCACAATGCACTTTGCCAAAGGGGTGAGATAAATTATCTTTACTCTTACTAATTCATGTTGTTTCTTTTAGTTGCTCTGCTGTTTTGAATCACCTGCGGCACATTCCACAGCCATGTTGAATTTGCAAAGTCGCATTCTCCCTCCAAATTTCCTTTGTCAAAATCCCAAGGAAGTTGGCTTTTGCTTTTTGCTGCTTCATCCTGTGCCTTCTTCTCGTCCAACAACAAGGTATTGTTATGTTTCTAATTTGTTGTGCAATATTATTTTCTGCTATTTGGACTTTGCTGAAAAAGTCAATGTTGACATACCTGTAAGACAGCCAGCAATACAGTATCCTAAAATAGGGTATGTGGAAAACATTGTGATGCTCTGAGTGAACTCAATGCATTTTCAGTTTTTGGCAATCACAGTCCTCGTAGTTTGATATTGTTATAACTATTATGCTCTTTTTCCGTTTCGGCTTAGAGACTGGTTGTTCTCGAGAGTGACTTCTCGATAATAAATAGAGATGGTGGAGTTCTTTGGGGCTTGAGGCATCTTAGCCACTTCTCTTGTCACCTTGTTATATGCTCCCTATGTTCCAGTTTATGTGACCCTCTGTCCTTCTTAGTCTATTAAAAAAAGAATGACCTCTATCTAAATATGCAAACAATTTAACTTAAATTTCTCATTTTACCCTTAGTGACACGATTTTATATCCACACAAATGTTATGGCATGTTTAAGAACACAAGTTTCTAAAGTCTTATAACCACACAAATGTTATGACATGTTTATGACCCTAAGTTTCAAAAGTCATCCTTTTTTTTCCGTGCCCATTCACATAAATTGAAACAGAGGGAGTAGGAGATATCACGCCCCATTAGGTTAGAGCTGGTACTCTAATAACATCATTTTAGCATGGAATCAGTTTGATGTTATTCGTGTAATGTGTTCATAATCTCAAGTGGTGTACTGTCTAATCCTGCTGTCATCTCTGTGGGAACTTGCATATGCGGGTAAATGCACCTTGCTCCCTGCCAAGCTTTAAGATTTAGTAAAACCATTTTTTAGGTCTCAAGTGGGATAGCTTTTAGACATGGAAGAGTTGCATTTCTGTGATGGTGGAAATAAATAGCAAACTGTCCGCCACTCATTAGGATTGAGGGAAAAGACATTTTCTGAAATTGGTTATTGTTCTTTAATAGTTAGTATGACTTCTAGCTTGCAATTTGTCCTTTTGATCAATAGACATTTCACTTTTGTGTTGTAAATCTTCTAGCTTTGTCGTACTGAGTTTTAACTTCTCTAATTGCTAGAAGCTCAGGCACAGCAAATTTGTAAATATCCTCAAGTTAATTTGTTTGATTTGTAATCACATTCACAATACAACTTATCTTGTAGGGAAATCTTACAGTCTGAATTAATTATTGGAGCTGAAGAAGTATGTAAAATAGATGGTGTCCCATCATTTATTGAGAAGGATGATGACCCTGATTCAGACGTCTTGCTCTATTTCCTAGATTCATTGCAGGAGGAAAAAAAGAATAATACCTCCAAGTTATTACAAAGAATAGAGTGCCTAGAGGCTGATATCAAGGATGTTGAGAAAAGGGAGGTCCTTAGAAATTCAGATTGGGTGGAAACTGACTTCAATAATATGCGGCAAGGATCCTACTTAAAGCATCTCAATTCGACTGACTCTATTTCTAGATCGTTTTCTATTCCAAATATGAGCAATGAAAAGCTGATGAAGAATATTTCTCAGCTTGAAAGTGCATACTTCTGCATGAGGTCCCAAATCCAACTTGCAGAAAATGATACAATAGGTCGAACAGACACGGATTTGTTGACGAGTCGTGACAGATCGTTCCAGGTTTCAACAAAAGAGGCAGAGCCAATTCTAAAATCTGTTGATCGTGTTGGAGCCTTCTTTGAAGGTATTTGCAAATATGCTCGCTACTGCAAGTTTGAGGAATATGGGACATTAAGAAATGGTGATCTTCTCAACTCTACAAATGTGATCTGCTCCCTCTGTTTTGATTATGAAGAGGACTTTATAGCTGCAGCTGGTGTCTCAAAGAAAATCAAAATCTTTGAATTTGCTTCACTTTTGAATGAATCGGCGGATCTTCAATATCCTGTGGCTGAGATGTCAAACAGATCTAAGCTTAGCTGTGTTTCGTGGAATAAATATATGAGGAACTATCTGGCTTCAACTGACTATGATGGCGTAGTCAAGGTGTGTACTTGTTTGGCTTCACTTGGTAAAGAGTTTTGAATCTTCATGAGCTATGGCAATATTTTTAAGTCTTTCCCGTTATCTGACTAGTCTATAAGTACTCAAGGCATTATCTTTTCATAGGAGAATGTAAGTGAATAATCTCCTAGCTAGTAAGTGCTTTAAATATCACAATAAAGGTTATATCAGCTACCTAACACTTGCTTGCAGTTGAAGTTGAGTATTTCATTCATTTTGTTAACTAGATCTTGGTGTATAATTTTTGAATCTAGATGTGGGATGCAAGCACAGGTCAAGAATTTTCACAACATACAGAGCACCAGAAGAGGGCTTGGTCTGTTGATTTTTCTCAAGTGGAACCAACAAAGTTTGCCACTGGAAGTGATGATTGTTCTGTAAAAGTGTGGAATATTAATGAGGTACTTTACCCGATCCTGCTACTTTTTTCATGAAGTTGGTATCTTCATTTAGTTTGGATCTGTGGAAACACAAACAAATAGTTTGATCTATTTCATTCGGCAGAGGAGTTCTGTGGATACGATCTGGAATCCTGCCAACATATGCTGTGTGCAGTTTTCTGCTTACTCCTCTCATCTGTTGGCTTTCGGATCTGCTGATTACAAAATTTACTGCTATGATCTTCGCCATACTAGGATTCCGTGGTGCACATTATCTGGACATGAGAAGGCTGTTAGCTATGTAAAATTCTTAGATTATGGTACCCTGGTTTCTGCATCCACAGATAACACGCTAAAGCTATGGGACCTAAAGAGAACAAGTTTGGAAGGATTGTCCTCAAATGCTTGCAGCTTGACATTCAAGGGACACACCAATGAAAAGGTAAATAGAGGATATTTGCTCTACGAAGAACATCTCAATGCTGTAGGTTCAATTTCATTTACTCTCTTTTTTTGCTCTGTACAGAACTTTGTGGGGTTGTCAGTTTTGGATGGGTACATTGCATGTGGTTCTGAATCTAATGAGGTACTTCATATTCCATCATTTTTCTTATGTTAAACCGTAGGCTCAACTTCCCGAAGAAGTATCAATCTTTTTCTTAATTCTAACATTCTTTTTGCAGGTATATGCATATCATAGATCTCTACCAATGCAAATAACCTCTTACAAATTTGGATCTGTTGATCCTAGCTCTGGCAATGATGGTGAGAGTAATGGGCAATTTGTTTCAAGTGTTTGCTGGAGAAGGAAATCTAATATGGTTGTTGCAGCAAACTCAACTGGATGTATAAAGCTGTTACGTTTGGTATGAATTAAAGCTCATCATCCTTATCTTCTGAATCTGTACCATGCTGGCAGACTTGTTTTGTACACCTAGCTTCAGCTGGAATAGAGAAAAATTAAGGTACTTTGAGGTACATTCAGTAAAATAAGTAGTTAAGATTCGTAGTTTCCTTGACATATTACTAAATTGGTCCAAAGCACACAAGTTTTTTTTAACAGAATGTTTTGAACATTTCAGGATTGATAAATCTAGGTGTCGAACATTGAAGCTGAATTTGTAGTCATGGCTAAATGGAATGGACCTCAGAATAAGAGACAGCACTAATGTAGTCCTCGCCTGTCTCGTGAGTTCTTCAGGATAAATGGATATCGAGATGAAGAAGTTGTGGCCTTCTTCACTGCTTCTTTTGCAAAGAAATGACATCAGTAAAGTTGAGAAACCTGTTAGAGAGTATGCTTTGCATGATTGGATTTGCCAAGCGGAGGTATGGATCACAATTTTTTGCGAGCATGAGCTCTTTCATGTTCACCTAAACAAACATATTCCACACCCTTTTACCAAACATCTGCCACCTTCGAGCACATATTTCAAATATGAAGGGAGCTGTCAAACCCTGTATATGCCATTTGAACAGGTGGAATGTGGAGTCCACTTCCTTTCCAACTTGAAAGTTAGAGACAGAACTCTACGGGTCTTAATCCTTGGTGTTTTCACCTTCCATTTGTGCATAGATGATATCCCTTTGTTAAAATCTCTTTCGGGTTGCTGCAATATGCCAGACTTTGAGTTTACAATACTTTCTTTAAAGTTTAGCTTGAAGACATTTTGAGCAATATAAAGTGACCTTTAATCTAAAGAAATATTAGCTACAATGCTGCATTTAATAGCTCTAGATCCAAAAAGCTAAGGCTTTACTTGCTTTGATATTTGCAGATCGTCTCTTGCTCCAAAGTCTTGGTAGACATAATCCACTTCTTTTCAGTTGGTAATCTATGTGGCCGTTCCACAGGCTAAAGCTGCGTCACATGCCACACACTGATTCAGAATTTGTCTCCGTGACTTATGTTACTTCTTTCTCAGTCACCTTGTGAGTGAACATTTGAAAAAGTATGTGCGACAGGTAAAGGATCAGAACAGAATTTCCCAGGGAGGGACAGCTGCGTAATATCCCAGCCTTGATGTCACTGTACTCAAACTGGTGGTAATGGAGAATCCATTCAACTGTGATCAGAGCTTATCACTAACAACCTCTTTACATAGCGGAAAATCCAGCAGATGAATGAGAAACTTGTCTGTTGATTGGATCGTTGTGTCAAGACACTCTGTCAAGTTTGTCACGTACTTTGGTAGGTCCTGTCCTCATGTTTCGCCACATCTTCTCTTGGCTATCTTCAAAAGCAACTCTCCCTGTTAAAACCTCAAAGCATATCATCCGCGAGCTGTGCAAGACTTCTTAGAAAACTTGATACACTCCGTTCCTCGATCATGTTTTGAGTGGAGAGTTACTTAAAAAACAGTTAGGAAAACAACTTAGTCATGCATGCCATGTTAGCTGCTTGTCTACTCTTCTCTCCTTATTAAATTCGACAAGTTGTCGATATATTGCTTAGGTTTAAATGTTGGGAACCTGAGTGTAGTGCAACTGTTGCTGTTGTCTGATGTCTCAGTAAGTTTCATCATTGACAACATTTAGGGCCTGTTTGGAAGGACACTCTGGTAATTGGATTTGGTGTAATTGGTGTAATTACACTGTCTTGTCCTGTTTGGAAGGACATGTAATTACTTGGTCAACAGGTAATTGGCGTAATTGGCAGGGGGTAATTATACTCTACAATTCACAGGCAGAGGCTGTGAATTGCTGGTAATTACCACCTGATTACTTTTTAATTTCCTTTTTTTTTCTATTTTTTTTTTGTTTTAATTTTTTTTACTTCTATTATGTTAAGTTCTTTTTTATTTTTATTATTCTAAAAATTTGTAAAAGTTTATTTTTATTTTATATTATTATATTTCATTTTCTTCTTGTTCTCAACCTTACTTTACGTGATTTTATGTAATGTAATTTTCTTGTATTATCTATTTTTTTATGCCATGCTTATTTTCTCATTAGCATAATTTTATTAGTATTCTAATTTTTAAATTAAAATAGAATTTATTGTTAAGTAAGGTTATAGACTTACGTTTTCTTTATTAAGAAAAAATAAAAATAAATCATATTTATTGCTATGTTGAAGTTTGTTATAAGAGTATTATGTTAACTTTTTTGTTTTGAATTTATAACTTCTGTTATATTTTCAGTTTCATTTGTTTTAGTAAAGGATTATTTGTGTTGAGCATTGTTCAATAGATTATCAATAATGCTAGTATTTCAAATTCTACTTATATTGTTAAGTCGATTAATTTTTGGTATGGTAGACTAAGTCATGTTAATATTGCTTCAATCAAAGGACATAGAAAAATGGAATTAATTCCTATGATAAAAATTGATGATTTTTCAAAATATTTTCTATGTGTAGAAACAAAGCATGCCAAGAAACCCTTGAAATCTATTATTAGTACAAAAACTGAATTGCTTGAACTGATATATTCAAATTTAACAAGTTTCAAGAACACTGTTAGAAAACATAGAAAAAAGTATTACTTTTTTCGATTACTTTTCTAGATACACTAAGGTATATCTTCTTATGTTTAAAGATGGGGTTGAAAGTATGTTCTTCAAATTCAAAGTAGAAGTGGAAAATAAATTTTAGTAATATTGAATTTACATTGCACGTCATTTTTAATTAGACTTGATAGATTATATTTTTGTCAAACATTTAATAATTTATGACATTTTATTTATATATTATTCTTTTTATCAAACATGCATTTCACAATATTCGTAGAAATTTCATACTTTTAGTTGTTACGATCAATTCAATTGAAATATATTAATTTGAAAAAATATAAATCAATTATTTTTTCATAATATTAGTTACAGAAAATATGTTTATTAATTAATATATTTTCAAAAAAGAATATATATCTTAAATATTTAATTTAATGTCATTTATAAAGTTTCTTATTTGTCTAGTATAAATTTTAAATAATTAATTTTTATTTTTTCTTATTTGTCTAGTATAAATTTTAAATAATTAATTTCTATTTTTAAAATTTATTATAATTTTATAATTGCAATTGTGCATCCAAACAGAACATGTGTAATTACATTGCGGCATTCAAACAAGACATGTGTAATTACAGTGTAAGTTGGCCCTCATGTAATTATTGCTATTTCCAATGTTGTAGCTACTTTTTATTTTTTGTAATTGAAAAATAGTCCATGTCTAGAATTTCAAATTATTATGGAGTTCTGGAATTTGCCACTGCATGAGTGACTATTTCTCGAAGACAGAGCCAAAAAGTGACCAATGAATGTTATTTCTACTTGTTAGCTTGGCAACGTCGAAAGCCAGCTAAACCATTTGAACTAACAAAGGGAAATCCTTTTGGTTGGTTTATTGAACTATAACCTTGATTAAAATAGGTGTCACCTATTCGATAGAAAAAGCGGGTGTATACTTATTGACTAGTGTATAGGTATTTACATTTCATTAGAACTACACAAAAATGTAAAATATTTTCAAGCTTTATATCCATTTGAAATGGTGTTCAAAGTGTACAATCAACTTGAAGGTTGCGTGAAGGGGATAAAAATACTTCATATTTTCACATGGCAACCTTGCAAAGAAGAAATAGAAATATGATAAAAGGTTTTCAGACATCTGATGGGAGGTGGGTGGTAGACCAAACTGATATAATTCAAGAAGTTGAGCAATATTATAACAGTCTATTCTCTACATCTAACCCGACAAACTTGAACTGTATTTTGAATCATGTTAAAGTGACTGTTAGTGATTCTATAAATCAGAGTTTAATTAAGGAAGTTGATGAGGAGGAAATAAAGAATGCGGTGTTTGCGATGCATCCTCTTAAAGCACCAGGTGTTGATGGTATGACTCCTTTATTTTTTCAAACGTATTGGAATATCTTTTCAAAAGAAATCTGTGATGCTGTTAAAAGTTTCTTTAGTACAGGATATTTACTCCCTACATGGAACCATACTTTAATCACTCTAGTCCCCAAAGTTAAAAGCCCCACCTTAGTTTCGCAGTTTAGACCTACAAGTTTATGTTCTACCTTGTACAAGATTCTGGCTGCAAGAATGAAATGTGTTCTAACTAAGGTGATATCCCCTACTCAAGCGGCTTTCATCGGTCATAGACAAATAACTGACAATGTTATTTTAGCTCATGAATTTATGCAAGTGTTAAAAAACAAACGCAGAGGTAGGCAAAAATATATGGCTATGAAATTGGATATGTCGAAAGTCTATGACAGAGTCGAATGGATTTATTTACAAGAAATGCTTTTACGAATGGGTTTTCATAAAAGATTTGTCGAATGGATAATGCAACGCATCTCTACACCTACTTATAGTTTTAATATAAATGGGGAGATAATTGGATCGGTTAAACCTACCAGGGGATAAGACAAGGAGATCCACTATCGCCATATTTATTTTTATTATGTGCTGAAGGTTTATCAACTTGCTTATTGAACATATCAGAGGAACAAAATGAAATCCAAGGGCTAAAGTTGAATAGACATGGACCGAGTAGGACTCATTTACTCTTTGCTGATGACTCCTTTATATTTTGTTCAGCTAACAATCAAAATGCAAGTTGCGAAGCCAATATCTTAAAGAAATATGAACGAAGCTCTGGGCAAGTGGTTAATCTAGATAAATCAGCAATTTGCTTTTGTAAAAATGTGAGAGAGGAGGAGAAAGTTGAGATATCCTCGTTGCTTGGACAACGACAAAGGAATGACAAGGGTATGTACTTAGGCTTACCGGCTGTTGTGGGACGCTCCAAGAAAAGTATGCTAGAGTTTATAAAAGAAAGAGTCAAGACGAAAATAAAAGGATGGAAGGGAAAATTTTTAAGTAGTGCGGGAAAAGAAATTATGCTCAAGTCCGTACTAGCAGCGATCCCTACGTATGCTTTGTCTTGTTTCCAACTCCCTGATGGTCTTTGTAAGGAAATTACATCCCTCTTTTCAAATTTTTGGTGGGGACAAACAAAGGGGAAAAGAAAGATGCATTTTGAGAAATGGGATAGATTATGTGATTCTAAATCAATAGGAGGATTAGGCTTTAGAGATCTAAAAGCTTTTAATATGGCTCTATTAGCTAAGCAGGCTTGGCGAATTCTATCGCAATTACCAGATTCTTTAATAGCAAGAGTTCTTAAAAGCAAATATTTTCCAAACTCAACCTTTCTTAAAGCTTCAACATCATCTTCTGGTAGCTGGATATGGAAGAGTATTTTGTGGGGAAGAGATCTTTTGACTAAAGGATTAAGATGGAGGATTTCTGATGGGAAAAATATTAATGTTTGGATCGACCCTTGGATACCAAATAATAATTTCTTCATCCCTAAGAGTATCCATGGGCATAGAAATTTAGATTTAGTAGTATCTGATTTAATTGATAAGAATATGCATACATGGAAAATACAAGAGCTAAATTCGTTGTTTGAAGCTGAAGATGTTAATTCTATATTGTCTATCCCAATTTCTACTGCAGGTTCTAATGATAGGTTAATATGGCACCATACAAAAACAGGAAACTATGAAGTTAAGTCAGGTTACTACATCGCAAAGGATTTGATCGGTAAGACAATGAAAAATACGGAAGTTCAAGTGAGTTGTCACTCTTTTCCAAAATGTTTTTGGGACTTCTTATGGAAGTTGAGAGTTAAAAAGCTTAAACACTTTTTGAGAAAATGTGTGCTTAACTCTCTACCAATCCATAGTAATTTAGCAAAAAGACTACACAATGTAGATAAGACTTGTAAGATTTGTGGTCTTGGACCTGAAGATATAGAACATATGTTATTCAAATGTCCTCGGTCTCAACTTGTGTGTAAGCAATGTCCTATAAATTGGCCTGATATAGGATATATTACTGATTTTTCTATCTGGTGGTATGACTTGTTCTTAAATACCAAAATTTTTCCTGAATCTATTGACTTGTTAAACTTGAGCGCTAACATTATGTGGCAAATTTGGAAAGGTAGGAATAGTTGGTTGTTTAATTAGGAAAGGTTAGAACCAAGAGATATTGTTTCTAGATCGATGTTTGAGTATGAAGAATATAAAGAGTTACTAACAAAAGTCTTTCCTCTTGTTCCTGTAGAAATCATTCTGTGACTAAACTAACAAATTTGCAAGATGACATTTTATTGTTTACAGATGCAGGATTGCAGAATGATGATGGAAGGGCAAGTATCGGTATTGTGGCTTTGGATAGCCTTGGGAACCTGCTTCATGCCCATGGATCCTCAATCCAATTTGTTGGGAAAGTCATGACTGCTGAAGCGATTGCTATTAGGAAAGCTCTTGAATATGCTATCAGTAAGGGATGGAAGAGAGTGAAGATTTTATCAGATGCTAAAAATGTTGTTGATATGATTCAGAAACGAGTAGCAACTTCATGGGAGATAGAAGTGTTGTGTGAA